CACCGATATATCCTTCTACATCAACACTTCCACTTTTCTACCTAAAAAGTCACCTCAAAATTATCGTGAACTGTGCCTTCAAGTAAAGTGAGACTTTCAGAATAAAATAGAACCGTAAGGAAGGATACAACTTATCCCTCTACCACCTCCTAATTTGCAGCCTCGGGTCCATTCGGAAGAGTATGATAAAGGGAGTACGTCAAGAAGATCAGTATGGTTCAGTAGCTCGGATCAGATGACGAACGACTTCAACATCCACTTCTCCTTCTTTCGTGAGTTTTCCACCAACTACTGCAAACCTTATTCGATTACCTTCTGATAAAGTCAGTGATAAATGACTTCTTTACTATTATAGTTACCAACTTCTGTGGAAGGGTCTAGATCGTGTCGCAGAAGACCCCTAATGGCAGGCTCGTCCTTGCTAAAGGAAAGGAATTTCAGGCAAATACTTGATATCCAGTCGCACTTTTGCCCTTTTGTTCTGTACAACTCCCAGTATGTAACTACTGGTATTAGGTTGAGTCATAAGTCTTCGGACAAAAAGGTAGTGAGGATTTTTACACATCATAACTCGGGAAGAGGAGACGAAAATGGACGCGCGTGGCATTGTTAGATAGAGTATCAATAGCTCTTCCAAATGCTTACTAACGAACGCACCTAACTGTCTCCTTTCCTGCAACCATGCCCCATGATTTCAAGCCATTGCAGCTCCACCTCCGCGACACCATCCTATTTCTTTTTTTATCTGGCCAAGAACCCGTGGAGACCGAAAGACGTATAAAGGAAGTTTACAAGGAGGACGCCCCTGTTAGAAGTATAATTTACAAGTGGCACTCGAAGTTCACGTCGGTCGACCACTCCATCGAAAGTGGAGACCGTTAAGGACGCTCTATGGAGTTGGTTGATGATTGGACGTGCTGCGGAGCCAGGTGGAAGCCGATCTACTCAAACCAAACTGCTCTTTAAATGGCAGTCACCGTTGAGGAGTCAGTCCACGATTATTCGTGGATTGAAGTCAATCGGCAAGGTGCGAAAGCTCGGTCGATGGGTGCCTCATGCTTTGAAGCAGTATGACATGGATTTTCGCGCCAACATGGCACTTTCTCTCCTCACGCTCAAGCGCATGAGATCGTCAAGTGTACTCTTTAGTATGTATTTTAAAGAGCTTTTTATACTCTATCTAAAGTTGCTTCGCGCTTCCATTTTCACCTATTTCCCGAGTTATGATCTCCAGAAGTCATCACTTTGACATTGTCCGAGGACTTATGACTCAACCTAATATTTATGAGAGGTCTTGTAAAGGGGGACAGTTAGCAGACTGGTAGCTTGTGACTAGTAATCTGTAATAAAGGAATTCACTTTCGACATGGTGGCCTTTCTCGAAACGTTGAAAAATATTCGTTCAAACCGTGAGAGCCTTATTATAAATGCATTGCATGAATTGTAGTGTAGAGAATAGCCACTCGCCCTTCAACCGCATCATTTCAACATTTCTACGCCTTTGAAAATATTTCTATACACTTTGAAAAAATTGAAGGATCGCTGGGCATATAAATATTCGTGGAAATGCACAGAATAGATAACACTGATTGGTTTTGCAATTATCTGTTCTGACACCCTTGACTGAGATATATTTCTAGCATGGCTGCCATATTTTTTATGCGAACTACTGCTCTATTGGCTCTGGCCTTCGGAGTTGCAGATGGTATAACCGACGGCTGGATTCACAAGTTCGGCTACTCCTACAAGGTAAGCATTGTTTTAAAAAATGATTTCTTCTTGTTTCCTACACTGATCAACCTATCTCTCTGCCTCTCACTTTATTTCTTTTAGAGGAAACAGTTTAGAAGATGAAACTCAAGTCAAACTGCCTGTCGTGAACCACCTATAGAAAAAAAACTGACGCGCCCGCCTACAAAACTGCCTATAGTCTTAACTTCACAGATCATACTCAGAACTGAATCTACACTGGAGGGGAACAAGTCCTGCACGAGCATTCCTACAGGCTGCAGTGTAGCTCGTATATCCCTGAGGATCAGAACCAACAGCGATTGTTCTTCGTGCAGCAGCCTGGTTTATCCAGTGTTTTTGCAAACACTGCTCACTCTGCGCTACTGCATATTCCTCTCAACAAGAGTAGCCGGACCATTAAGCTGTCAACCAGTTGCTCTGCTTAGGGACAAATTTGGCTGGAGAAAAGCAATCTTGTATGCAATTTACGTCTAGTGCAAAGAATGGCGACTGCGACTTTTAGATATTAAGAATTTGATTAGAAACTAGATTCCAAGGATTCTGTAGACATGGGTGATGCACAGTAAAGTAGACTATTACGAAAGACCTTCGCAAGTTGTGAGATGTGGGATCCTATCCCCAAACGGCTTGCGCGTGGGGTCGAATACAGTAGTTGCAGATTTATGGCGCTAGACAATTGAAAAATGTTTGCAGTATGTGGCCTAGCAAGTGTGGAAATTCGGGGAAGGGATCCGTCACCGTGCAACCCAGGTTCCTCCCTGTCCTTCCTGCGGGCGCTGGGCCAAAAATAGCCTAATCGGGTTGCTACGCGGCTCATAGACCTGCTTCATCGACGTTCCAAAGACGAACGCGTCTCGTCAGCGTTTTAAAGGCTATACTATTTAGAATAAGGTACAAATGTTGCAAATAAAAAGAACTAGCCGTGACTCATATATTAGTGGGATGCAAGTTTTGGCAATTCTAACCGCAGGTTACTCTTCATGGAAATGTACGCGACTGAAACTGGATACCGCCTCCATCCAGTTTTCCTACTGTGATCTCGCACATCCATCAAATTTCACTGATTTTGAAAACATCCATATTTTACGGATACTCCGACCAACTAATCTCCACCACAACTTCGCCTATTCACTTGAAAATGATAGCCTAGAACTATCGTTAACTGTGGCTTTAAACTACTCTTCTGAAATCAAATGGTGTTATTCGTCTAGATGTTTGAACACACTGCTACATTCGACGAAGCGGAAGCCTGGTGTGTGGCTGAAGGAGGACATCTGGTTTCTATACACAACCATAAAGAAAACGAACTCCTTCACAGTAGGTTACATACAGCTTGCGCAAAGTTCCTCTGATAAAAAACCAGAATTTTGGAAAAAAACAAAAATTCCTCGATCGGGTGCAGTTTTCAGAAAAAGTGGGTGTGGGTTTGGGACCTTCGCGACCTTGACTAGGTACCTCAAGTGAAAGCGAAAACATAAAGGACATTGCACTTCACATATCGTCATGAAAGAATAAAGAGTTGAGCCTTCGGTGTAAATCATTAGTTTGTGGATTCGCCCCAGTTTTCGACTTTCACTCACAATCGTAGGGCGTGTCGGATGCGTTTTCGGCCTATACAATGCGGTGTCCAGCGGGAAGAAATCAGCGCTTCCGTTCGGGAAGAAATATGCAAGGCGAATTCCGGAAAGAGATAATGCATGGCCCAGTCTAGCTATACAGAAAAGCGAAGCATTCGTCGATAGAAAATGGAGCAAATGGATGAATGGATAAAAATTTACCAATTTTAGGGTTCGATCGCAATAAACCTTATCATTGCCTTCTTTACCGTGATCATGGGTTAATAATAAGAAATACCCCAGGTTTCCATTAAAGGTTCACTCATTCCGCTTGCTCAAATAGCGTTATTTTAGCGATCACGGGGACCGTGATTCCCGTGGCCCATAGTTATTCCGCTTGGATTGGCTTACGGCAAAAGAATTGGCCTAAAGACAAAAAGTGGACATGGACTGATGGAACGCCGGTGGATTATCTGAACTGGGCTCCTGGTGAACCTAATGACTATGAGAATTCAGAGCACTGCGTACAGGTATTGTTTTATTCATATCAGCGATGGAATCATCACTCGAAAGTAATCTTCCCTAGAGAACAGGAGTTCGGATAGTGAACATGGTTTCGAGGTTCTGGGCTCATTCTATAAACAATCGAAAAAGAGAGAACAGTAGCGGTCAGAAATAGTCGCCGAAACAGTTTGCTGTAGCTATTCGCTTTCTTGCTGAACCGATTTTCTTAAAAATTTTATATGTCATATGTAGCGCTGTAACAAACAAAATACATTACTTGCACTTCAATTTAATCTCCTACAGCAAGAAAGGAGGTAAACTTTCAGAAGAGCTTGCAAAATTCAGGCATGGAGAAGAACCATCCGTGCGATTGCGCAAGAAAACAAGAAACTGCTAAAATCAAAACCATAGCTACTGCGAACAATTGATATTTCATCGGGAGGCCACGACTTTTGATGGATGCTACACAACAGGACGGCACTGATCCGATGAGCTTCTGAAGAATGGCAGTCGTTATGGTTTCTTTCCTTCGCAAGTGGAGCAAACTTTGGATCACTGTTGCTGCACGGTTACTCGGCTCACGGTCTCTCCAACTCTTCTCTTCAGTGTTCGATTGGATTGAGGTCTTGAGATAAACTGAACCAGTTTAAAAGTCCTACATTTTTCTGCTGAAACACGTCTTCCGCAGTATGAGAGGTATATTCCTTATGCTGCAAAAGATGCGCTCAACAGATGGGCCATTGTCTTGCTGCAAAATCCATGTGGCTGGCATTTTCGCCTCTGCCCATGGCAAGAATTTTTCGAAGACCTTTTAGTTTCGGTTATGTAGCTTTGAATGGTCAACCCGCCTTCGATTTTAAGAATGAGACCCATTCATTCGTGAGAGAATGCACCGTGCACAATTACTGATCCTTCTCCGTGTTTGACAATGGATTGGTTACCTCGGATTGTATCCTTCACCAGTAGGACGTCTCACATTGGCTGCTTTCATAGTCCGCCGGCCGGCCGGCGTGCCGGCGTGGAGGCAGTGCTAGCGGGGAGGAGGGAGGCAGACGGATAGGCAAACAGTCCACGCCCCTTCGAGGGGTTGAAAACAAACAACCTTCGAAGGGGTGTGGACTGTTTGCCTTACACTGTCTGCCTCCCTCCTCCCCCCTAGCACTGCCTCCACCGGCACGCCGGCCGGCCGGCCGGCGGACTATGAAAGCAGCCATTCTTGATCAGAAGAGGTTGGGTTTGCTTTCATCGGTAGACAGAACCGTGCTCCACCCAATTAATGTCCGATGCAGGCGGCGGCAAGCAAGCTCTACTCATGCTTTTCTGTTCTTCGGACTGATCAGCGGCTTTATAGCTGGATGCCTCCCAATCGACCTTGCTGCAGTAAGCCTTCCTGCTACAGCCCGTCCACTTATTTTAGTTTATCACTGGCATTGAACTCACTGAGATGACGACCATGGTCAGCCAGATATCGGCTTATTTATTTAGTTAGGTATTTATTTATTTTCATACCTCTAGACGACATGCCAACTCAAACATGGGCGTAGTAAGTTAACGAAAACAAAGCCGGGAAAAGAAGGAGGGCGAAGAATGAAAAGGAAGTGAAAAAAACGAGAATCGCAGAATGTGCGCACACTACAATGACACAAGGGGGAAATTAGCCGTTGAAAAAATATCGATTGGTATCTTGTTAAGCACTGCGCGAGACTATATATATATATATGTTATATTTGTTCACAATATTGAAGGACAATGAAATTTCAAAATATAAGACAAATTGCAGTAGTCAAGCAGTAAAAAAGCAATTTATAGAAAAAAAATACCGGCAAATGCTTTTGACCGTATTTTCACCAGCCAAACTTATGCAAAGAACCGATCTCATTTTGAAAGAGAGAGAGAGAAAAAAAAGGAGAAAGTGAGGAAAAGAGAGAGAGAAGTAGAGGCACCATGGCATCACAAATATCTAAGGTTTCTAGGGTTTTGCTTGAGCAGTGATAATCTTATTTTCAGGTTTACAACGACCCAAAAGGTCCATTTTATCAAAAAGGTAAAGAAAAATGGAACGATTATAATTGCAAAGCGAAAATGATGTTCTTTATCTGTAAGAAGAAGAATATTGTGTGTTAATGACGAGCGCTGTACAACCTTCGAAAGAATGAATCATTAATGGACACTGTTGTTGCATCCAGTTATCATTGGCCATTGCCGCTTTTCGTTTGACTCTTTTCTCCGTTGCTGGTTAATATCAAGTCTGTATTGCCCTGCAGTATAACCACCAATTGATGATCGCTATACCAGGAGTTGGAGTTGTCAAAAAAAAAAACCAATTACACGAGAACCGGTTACATTCATTCGATGGTAAGCCTAGCTCAGGAGATTTCAAGAGTGACCTAACTCAGGGACTCCCATTAGGTTATTCCCGTAGATGTGTATCGGATCCACTCACTGTTGCGCTCTGTTTTCCTGCTGAGATCAATTGTATTAGGCTGTTCGGAAAGTATGTGTGTTCAACTGGCCCAGATTTCTCTCCGGATTTTCTGGAAGCTTCCATCGAAATATCATAAAAGTGCTCTACTCCCACAGAATATCAAATGATTTCATGACATCCCAGTCCGTTCCTCAAAACGAGTTTCAACTTCGATCACTTGCTTCCCGAGAATTTCCCGAAAGCCTTTTGGAAAACGTGGACCATTGCAGGATTTCCGACAAATGCTTCCACGCAGCCTAATGACTCCCACTTAAATTTTCGAGAAGATTCATGTAAAAAATATACTACCCAACCGCGTTCGGTAATGATACAGCCACCTATGAATTTAACCAGAACTCACCCAAGGCACATCATAAAAAGTTCCAGTATGGAAAGTGTGCCGTATCTGGACCGTAGTATTTAGACCACTAGCAAGTTTCATTTCAGAAACAGAGAATTTTCCCCTTCACATTCTAGAAAAGGTCGCTTTGCCCACGTTCTAAAATGGTACAGCCATTACCCAAATCAATTTATTCGGCAGCTAAATGATAATGATGAGAGGGAGTTGCATGACAAAATACCTAATTGGCCCCCACTCCTTCGAGTTACCTCGGAAATATGCTTGTCTAAGCTAAAGTAAAGGCTATCAATGATTCCTGGTCAACTTGGTGTCAAGCAAAGATTGTTTTCTTTAGCTCGCTGATGCCTACAAATCTCTTGTCTCCTTCACCTTGCCATGAATCCTCACACGTTTTCCATCGAATTCATGTAGGGCCGTTAGCCGACTAGTATAAAACACCGATTTGGTGCCGACTAAACCAAGCTTGGGTGCTCCGGCTGACGTGGGGGTTATCCTGCATGAATGCGAGGTTCCCACGACGCATCAGGACTCAATACCGAAAAGTTGAGCTTCTTCCGAGCAAAAAAAAAGAGAATATGTTCACAAGAGAAAACTGACGCCCATACAGAGACTCCTATTCCCTTGAAATTTCGACAAAAAATTTAAGTTCATTATTCCTCATATCGGGCCAGTAAATCCGTTCGCCGTCTAGGCCATTACAATTAGACTATTCTTCATTCTCCAGGAAAGCAACTAGAGAACGAAGCATTATGAGAAGGAAGAGTGAACGACAAGGCATGAAAGGCACCCTACCCCAATCGGTTAGGATGCAAATCTTGGTAAAGGCGACCCGATGATCGCGATGCTTCTCGATCGCAAAGGGTGTCTTCCTCATTTTCCGCCCAACCAAAAACTCAGACTTATTCATCACACTCCAAGCATCAATCCTCGAGAAATTGAGCTTCAAAGGGAGAGAGAAAGACTTCACAAGAAGACCAATGCAGGAAAGTAGTATCGGATCCATAGAAGATAGAACACGGGACAGGTGAAGTCTCCTACAACTCAATGCCGATGGAGATAATGTAACGAGGTGCAAGTGTCATACAAGACTTACGAACGAGTAGGTATCAAATTCGATATCAACTGCAATGGTTTCAAAGGTGGCCATTCAAACATGGGACACAAAGCAAAATGAATACAATAAAAAATAGATTAGAATAGACAGAATCACGTTTCGTCCATTACACCGAAAGTAAATGACAACCAAGGATTTCGAAGTTCGTTTCTTTTTCGTCTTGTGATTATTGCATATGATCACGCCGAATCCGCTCAACCTCATCTACCGTCTCATCAAGAGTTCTACCCTTCTCAACCCTGAACTGCAGTAAATGTGGGAGCACCTGCGAAACATCCCAAATCAATCAACTACTAAGATGAAGAAGAAATCGAGGAAAAGTAAAAGATGGAAGCGGTGCTGCACTTCTGCCACGTTCTTCGCTCGCCTTCGCACCTCGAGTGCGTCAGACGATGCCCGTAGACTGGTGGTTCAACATCGTTTCTATTTTTAATTATCTTAGGACGCAGATTAGAATAACCCTGAATGTGACATTCATAATAAACCAGTTATTGGGCAACTTTCTGAAGAAATAGTCCCAAGAAGACCCCATTAGGGAACGAATTAAGGAAATCGAGAAGAGTCAACTCCGACTGCGCACTACTATTGCCCAGGAGTCGTAGCTTTGGTAATCCTATCGACGTCCGCTCGGCATACCCAAGCTTCATACCCTCCGAGGNAGAAGAAATCGAGGAAAAGTAAAAGATGGTAGCGGTGCTGCACATCTGCCACGTTCTTCGCTCGCCTTCAAGTGCGTCAGACGATACCCGTAGACTAGTGGTTCAACATCGTTTCTATTTGTAATTATCTTAGAACGCAGTTAAGAATAACCCTGAATGTGACATTCATAATAAACTAGTTATTGGGCAACTTTTTGAAGAAATAGTCCCAAGAAGACCCCATTAGGGAACGAATGAAGGAAATCGAGAAGCGTCAACTCCGACTGCGCAATTACTATTGCCCAGGAGTCGTAGCTTTGGTAATCCTATCGACGTCCGCTCGGCATACCCAAGCTTCATACCCTCCGAGGTGTGATATGTAGTTGATGCTCGACTCATTCGAGAAGAGATGTGTCCCTATCAATGAGATAACGTTCAGTCTAAAACTTTCCGTCCTATGTACAACGTAACCCGATTTTTTTTCTTTCCAAAGTCCGCCCGTGAGAGAGTGACTCTCACCCACT